GATCTCAAGAATTAGCATATAGGCAATTGATTTGAACTGAAAATAAAAATCTATCATCTCTGCATATAGGCAATGATGCTTTGGTTCTTTCATATGTAACTAACTCCCACAAACCACCAAAGTAGCTTAATTCGACCTAAATATTTGTTGGCCATCTTCAAAATGATGTTGTAGGTAGGGTCATGGTATTTTATATTATTTTTTATGGCTTCTAAAGGTAATATATGCCCATTGTGAAAAATTTTAACAATATGGAAAAGTATAAAGAAAATTACACTCACCAGTAGTCTTCACTTGAATACAAAACTACATCCAGTCTTTTCTAAATAAATGGGCTCATACTGCATGCATAATTTTGTATTCCTTTTTTTCACTTAACATTGCATCCTAAGCAGTTTTCCATAATTCATAACAAATAAATATGTAAAAAAACACTTAGATGCGTTAAGTGGAGAAAAAATAAAATATAAAATTGAGTATGCCCAATCAAGAGATATATAAGAAGTACCATGTGCTAAAGCTAACAAATGCAAGGCATATACTAGATCAGAAAAGAAAAATAGTTCTATTTTATAGGGGTACCATAATTTATTTCTTTATTTGAGTCATTTTTATTCTATATATTGTTGATATTGTTGCTATGAATATCACTGTGTGGGTAAATGTTATCTATATTTTTTATTGTCTTAGGCTTGTTTTTGAGAAATAAAATTATTAGATCAAAGGGTATGAGGAATATTGGATCAGAGAATATTTTCCATATCATCTATGTGATTAGAAATCTTTTTTCCTCATCCAGCAATTCTTGCATCTATTAGTTTCACTGCATGGTATTTCTTACATATCTCTTATCAAATACATTCAATTGAGTAGTTTTCTGGTTTTACCTCTGATGATAGTTTCAGACTTTGGAATTAAATATAAGCTTTGCATAATGGTTCCATAAACTTCACAACATTTTAGCACCTTGAGCAAAACATAGAGCAAAATAGATGCTCAAGAAGTATAAATTGAGTTGGAATTGAATTTCAGATTTAAGAGCCTATACAATCTACCTTTTACTTCATGGAAATTACTATATACTGTGTAATGCCTGTAAAAGTGCTTATTCAAAGTAGTTATGAAGAAATACAGAAACAGTTATTCTCAAAGTGTTTTTTTCTTTTTTCTTTTCAGATCTTTTTGGGTTAGTGGTCTTTCTTGGTATTGAACCTTACTGTGTCAAACACTGGTGGGTTCGACTTCTCTATCGCCCTTACTGTAAGAAGAATCCTCAGCACCTCTACAGCTTTATTGCTAAGATACTGTGGAGGTCTGCAAAGAAAGATGTGATTGACCAAGTCAGTATAAGTTTTTATTGACTAAGTGTATTATAAGAAAAAAGAAACTTTGGGATGGAAAGTTAAATTTTCGGGTGAAATCTTTCTTTTTCCTCCTCTTTATAGATCCAGATACCACCACAGAGTGAAGAAATACACTGGCTCCACTTTTCTCCAGTGGAAAGGCATTTCTATCACCGTCAACATGAGGTGTGCTGCCAGGATGCAGTGGTAAAACTCAGGAAGATTTCCGACTGGGCTCTGAAGCTCAGCAGCCTGGACAGAAGGACTGTCACCTCCATCCTGTATCCATTGCTGAGGCTCAGGCAGGCCTGCTGCCACCCACAGGCCGTTCGTGGGGAGTTCTTGCCACTCCAAAAAAGGTTTTATTATCAATGTCCTTATACTGCAATTGATAGTATCAAAATAGACAATATTTAAGCAATTAACTTTCTGGCCCACAGTTTCATTCAAAGACTTATCACTGAGTTGTCAGTTGTTTTTAATGGTATGGTGTTTTTTCTTTGATATGGAATCTCATTTGTGAAAGAGAATCACATCATATGTATTTTCATGGTTTTGAACATTTCTTTTAAAATTAGGATTATTGTTGGGGTTTTTTGTTGTTTTTGGGAGGGGGTTTTGTCTGTACTCCACATATGAAAGGATTTTGCTCTCATTATATTTTTCGGTTCCCACATCAGGGATAGATTACCATTAAATATTTTCTTTAAAATTATACAACTATATTTATTTGATTATTCCTTCTGAAAACATTAAGGAATTTGTGTTCTTATTTTTCTAATGTCCTAGAAATTTTTTTATGTATCAGACTGTGACTCAGGAATTGACCTTCTTTAAAGCACCTTAGGCTATAAGAGATAGAAAGAGGGATTAGATTTTGTCCTTGACCTTAAGCAGATTATAGACAAATAAGGGAAAATGACAAAATTATATCAATAGATTTCTGAAATACAAAGTGAACATGGTAAATTTCACAAGATGTACATACAAATTACTATGGACAATGAGAGTATAGAAACAATTTGTATATAAATGGCTAAGGTTAAACAGCCTTCTGGTAGAAATGGCATTTGGCTTGATCCTTGAATCTTCATTTTTTTATAGATAAAAAAAGTATTCAGATTAGGTGTTCAAGTTCAAAGAGGTTAATTAGTTAAATTGTAATGCTGGTATTCAGATAGTCTTATAACACCCATAGTGTTTCAAATACATCATGATGTACATTCTACTTAAGGACTTAAGGAACTAGTACATTCTGCTATTAATAGTTCCATTCTCTCTATCCTGAAATGGGAAGAACTGAAAGAATGGTGGGATCAGATAGAGGTAATTGAGCTGGAATGGAGATGAAGAAAAAAATGCTGAAGGTATCGCAGAGATGCAATAGGAGTCTCATACTCTTGATCACATGTTGTATAACACACCCATTGAAATAACTCTTGGGAATTTCTTTCTAGTTTTCAACAGTCTATCTTTTCTTTTAGCACCATGACAATGGAAGAACTGCTGACATCTTTGCAAAAGAAATGTGGAACTGAATGTGAAGAAGCACATCGGCAGCTAGTTTGTGCCCTCAATGGTTTAGCAGGCATCCATATCATTAAAGGTAGAAGGTGATTGCTTTGTTATCTCTGATTCTTCCAAATACTTCCTGTAGAAGGTTAATCATAACAGAAGTCAAAATTCCCCCCAAAAGACATTCTCACACACTACAGATTGCAATTTAAATAGGTTCAACTTAAGAGAGAGCAGTTAGGCAGAATGCTTCAAAAACTTTCAAAGTTTACATATGCTTTGACCAAACATTTCCATTTTTAGAAGTTCTTTTTTAAGGAAATGAAGATATGAACAAAGATATGGCTAGAAGTTGTTACTTTTAGTCTTTAATAGTGAACAACTGTAAACAACCAAAATATCTAGAAGAGTTTCAACACATTCAGGGTA